GTCTGTAGTCCCAGCTACTTGGGAGGTGGAGGCAGGAGACTCGCTTGAGCCCAGGAGTTGGAGGTTGCTGTGAGAGCTGTGATTTGCTTTGGTCCACAAAGTGTTGTTCCAAATGTGAATGAGCAGCCCACACAGAAGGGTCTGGAGATTGCACATCAAAAACTCCACACAAAAATCATGATATGGGGCTCCTGGGGGCAAGAGTTGGGTGAGGCTGAGGAAGGTGCTCACCCCAGCTCCCTTTGGTACCAGAACCCATCACCCACCTGGCCCCAACAAGCACTGAGTTTGGGATCAGGGTCCCCAAAGGCTTTGTCTCTTTCTAGCCAGAGCCACAAAGGCTCTGTCTCTTTCCAGCCAGGCCTGTGTGAGCTGCAGATACAGCAAAGCAGGCTGGGGCCAAGAAGTTCAGTCTTCTTGAAGCAAATGGGAGCTACTGAGGACTCTTTAAACGGAGAAAGATTTGACTTAAAGGAAGGAGGCCTGAGAGGAAGGTGGTGAGCAAAACAGAAATGGATTATCCTATCAGGCAGCAAAATGCCCTCAAAAGTTGCCAGTGAGAAGGTCAAGAAGTTAAGACTGAGACTGGGTAGGGGGAGGAGGCTGACAGGATTTTGGATTTAAAAATGGAAAGGATTTGATGGTAGGGAGGGAGAGAGATCGGGGAAAGGCAGAACCCAAGAGAATCTTCTAGCTAGCTACTTTTCACACCCAAGTCAAATCCAAGAACAAATAGTTATTCAAGGCTCGATGCCTGTAGTACAGTGGTTATGGTGGTGGCCACATACAGAGAGGCTAGCAGGTTCTAACCTAGCCTGGGTCAGGCAAGCAACAATGACAACTGCAACCACAAAATAGCCAGGCGGTTGTGGCAGGTATCTGAAGTCCCAGCTACTTGGGAGGGTGAGGCAAGAGAATCGCTTAAGCCCTCAAGTTTTAGGTTGCTGAGAGCTGTGACGCCCCATAGCACTCTACTGAGGGCAACATAGTGAGACTCTGTTTCAAAAACAAAAAACAAAAAAAAACATATAGTTATTCAAGGGTTAGCTCCCCAGGACAGGAATTTGTCATATTCTCTCCTGTGTCCCCAGCACCTATGTATGATAGTGCCTGGCATGTAGCAGGTGCTCAGTAAACACCACTCAGTGAATAAATGTTAGAACCTATGTCTCTTACAGACGCCACAGAAGCGACAGTACAAATAAGAGCTTGTTCTCCAGGGTCGACATTCCAATGAGAGAGAAAAATGTTTCACAGATAATTATCACCAGGAACTATGTGGAGGCTGGGTATGGCGGCTCATGCCTATAGGCCAAGATAGGATTATTTGAGCTCAGGAGTTGGGAGATCTGCCTGAGCAAGAGTGAAACCCCATTTCTACTAAAAAAGAAAAAAAAAAATAGAAAAACTAGCTGGGTCTTGTGGTGGGTGCTTGTAGTCCCAGGTACTTGGGAGGCTGAGACAGGAGGATCACTTGAGCCCAGGAGATTGAGGTGGCTGTGAGCTAGGCTGACACCATGGAATTCTAGCCTGGGGCAACAGAGTGAGACTATCTCAAAAAAATAAATAAATAAAAATAAAAAAGAAAGAAAAGAAAAAGAATTCTATGAAGACAGGGTGGGGGAGGAAATCTGGAGCAGGGCCTGACTCATCTAAAGGGAGGGATAGACACAGGGCTTCCTCGAGGAGGAGACCTAGGAAGCTGAGCTGCAGGCACACGGAACCCCATACTCGCCTCTGGGTCCAAACTAGGACTCAGAGTTTCTGTCCTAAGGAGAAGTCTTATGACTTCAAGGGGCCCAAATCTCTTTTCTCAGAGAGGCTGCTTCTCCTCCACCCCACACTCCACATCTAGCAGGCTATCTGACCACTGCTGACTTTGGAGGATTTAAAAAGTCCACTTTTGGTGGCACCCATAGCTCAGTGGGTAGGGTGCTGGCCACATACACGGAGGCTGCCTGGTTAGAACCCAACCTGGGCCAGCTTAAACAGCAATGACAACTGCAACAAATAAAAAACAAATAGCTGGGCATGGTGGCGGGTGCCTGTAGTCCCAGCTATTTGAGGGGCTGAGGCAAGAAAATCACTTAAGCTCAAGAGTTTGAGGTTGCTGTGAGCTGTGATGCCACAGCACTTTACCCAGGGCAACAGCTTGAGACTGTCTCAAAAAAGAAAAGTCCACTTTTAGCTTCTTGTGGGGCAAAATCTTCTGGTAGCTCTTTTACCCCCAAATACTCTGCCCCAGATGCCACTTCCCTTCCCCTCTCTGGCTAGTCATTGTGTCCTGCATAGCGCTTCCCACTGTCCTACACTAGCTATTTCACATCCTCCTCTTGGGCACATCAAGGCAGGGGCCTAAGGATCATTTGTCTTGTTTACTCACACCTGTGGCCCCAGCATCTGCCATAGACACTGGCACCAGACAGACTCAGTAGTGCTAGACGAATGAACGAGGTTCTAAAATCCCATTGCTGGTTCAGCGCCCCGTAGCTCAAGCGGCTAAGGCGTCAGCCCATGTATACCAGAGCTGGTGGGTTTAAATCCAGCCCGGACCTGCCAAACAACAATGACAACT